AGGAGGCTTCCAAGCCTGGAGGCATGTCCCGAAACAGTTTCTTTAGTTTAAAGTGTCTTTCGCCAGGTTGTCTTGTTAGATCAAGCATCATTTAGACTGAGGCATTACCTTGGCTGAGTTCCCATTTCCCATGGCCTGCATTCCCAGAGGCTTCTAGTTCCAAGTACAATTAGTGAGATACTAACAGGTTCCAGGTTTTTATAGTGTGCTTTTGGAATTTTGATCTAGTTCAGAGATTTTCCTGACTGCTGAGTTTTACTGTGGCTTTTTGACTTTGCATTTTCCTCTATTTTGTAACCATTTTGTCATCAATAAAAAAGGATTGTTTTTCCCACAGTCAAGTGTGGTGGATTTAATCTTATGGTCTTGTTTCCTGATCTGGGTTGCAACGCCTGTCCCTTGTGGACAAGATTAAGAAAGCCACCAGTCATTTGTATGATTGTCGTTGAAGATTGAAGAAGTATTTGTTCAACAATAAAGGACTTTGTTAAACCTTTCAAGCCTCTAAAGACTCTTCCAGAGGAAAATCCTTAGGGCCTCTCTATCAAGGCACCCTTGGCTTCCTGCTGGGCACAATGTGCACATCCTGTTCAAAAGACAATTATTACACGCCCAGCACATGACAGCACATCATCACTGCGTCCCTTTTTTGAAGCCCCCCTGAATTTTACTAACAGGAAGAGGATCCATACTCACCGGGCTGGGAATATATAGGTAGATAGGCCTCTTAATGCTGTAGTCAACGGAGGTGGCATACGGAGGCATAAAGACTCTAAGGAAAACAAAGAAAATGCAGGGAAACAGCCAAGCGTAATTGGACTGAGACTCGGGAGACTAAGGTTCAAATTGCCACTCTGCTATTATATCCAGTTATTATAACCCTTACCAATCCCTGGAGGTTCATCAGCAAAGGCTGGATGGCCACCTGTTGGGAGGGCTTTGATGGTGTCTTGGGGTTCTCTTTATGATGCTACATTTCCTGCATGGCAGAATATGGACTGGAATGAATGAGCTTTGAGGCTATCCTCCAATTTCTCTGATTTCTGCCTAACAGAATAGGGTTGGATTGGGTGGCCCTTGGAGTCTCTCCCGACTCTAGTTTTTCAATAGAGGCTGTATGGCCATCTTTCGGGAGGGCTTTGGTTGTGTGTTCGAAGGGGTTGGGCAGAATTGTCTTTGGGGTCCTCTTCCAACCCTATAATCCTATTTTCCATCTTCATTGCTATGATACTTCATCTTGTTGATAGGAAGCTTCATGATGGCAACAGTCTTGGACGGCAATGGCTCCCAAAGTGACCCATTTAAGGTGGAATCGGGTGTCAAACAGGGATGATGTGTTATTGTCCCAACCTTATTCTCCATCTTCATTACTATGATACTTCGTCTTGTTGATGGGAAGCTTCCCACTGGAGTGGAAAACATCTATCGGACAGATGGCAAACTATTTAACCTCAGCATACTGAAAGCCAAAACCAAGGTTACAACAATATCTGTTCTAGAACTCCAGTATGCTGGTGACAACGTCGTCTGTGCGCATTCAGAAGAAGAACTACTCTAATCTCCTCCACAGAAGCATACGAGAAGCTCGGCCTGTCATTGAACATTGAATATTGAACTCTTGTTGTAACACTTACCTGTGATAGAAAGCCATGTTGGATTTAGCCTTGCTCTTAGGTGGATGTCCTCAGATTTGAGTTCAAGATTCCCATCTTCCTTATTCTCCCCTTTTGCCCTAGTGATCTCACAATGGCTTCTGTCATTAGCCAATCGGCTACTGAGGGCGATGCCATCACCAAGAGACTAATGCCATTATGGGCTGTAAAGAGTTGCAGTGGGAGTTGTAGGCTGAAAACCTTGCAAAACTACAACTCCCAGGATCCCAACACATTGAACCAATCAGACCATTTTTACATATTTACGAAGGGCGTTCATTAAATATTTCCCTTGACTGATTTATCACAGGATGCTGAAATTGTACGTATGCCATGATATATAGGTCTCTATAGTTTATGTGCCAATTTACAACTCTGAACTGATAATGGCATCGATTGTACAGGTGTTCAAGTGGAGAGAGGTTTGAGAATGGACCCAGTGGAATATAGAGCAGTCCTCAAGTTCCTTTACTCGAAAGTCCGCACACCTAAGGAGACGTTTGATGAGATGGAAGAGGTTGATGGTGAGGATTCCCCATCATATGATGGAGTCAAGAACTGGCATTGTCCATTCCAATGTGGTTGGACTTCGGTGGAAACAGCTCCAATTCCAGGGCGACCCCTTACTTATTTACTTAGGCAATCCCTCATTGTCTGAGTAGGAGTCTTCCAAGATCAGTGTACTGTTGGGTCCGTAGTGGTACCAAACCTCTATAAGAGCATAAAGTAGATGCCCTGTGAATATCCCATGGAGCCTTAGAATCCCTTAGGATGGGGTTGTGGTTACGAAAGTGGTACCAAAACTCTGTAGATGCTCGACTAATATGGAGTCTTGCGGTCCTGTAAGATGGAGTCACGGTGACTAAAGTGGTACCAAACCTTTATAAGAGCGTAGTGTAGATGCTCTACTAATATCTCATGGGGTCTTAGAGTCCCTTAGGATGGAGTTATGGTTACAGAAGTGGTACCAAACCTCTGTGGATGCTCTACTAATATCTCATGGAATCTTAGAGTCCCTTAGGATGGAGTTATGGTTACGAAAGTGGTACCAAACCTCTGTAGATGCTCTACTAATATCTCATGGAGTCTTAGCATCTTTTAGGATGGAGCCATGGCGACTAAAGTGGTACCAAACCTGTATAAGAGTGCGGTGTAGATGCTCCACTAGTATCTCAGTCTTCTTCTTAGGCGATCCCTCGTAGTCCAAGGATGATGACCCTCCAAGGTCAGTGTTCTGGCGGTGGGTCCCAAGGTGACTGTGGAGCCCTATTCTTGATCTGCATCTTCTCCCGCAGTGAGGGCATCGGTTTCCAGGTGGAAGGCGGTCCCAGTCGGGGTTGGCTTGACGTGCCTTCCTCTTGGCACGATTCTCTCTTTTGCCCTCCAATTCTGCAGCACTGCTGGTCACAGCTGACCTCCAGCTGGATCAGTCAAGTTCTCAGTGTCTATGCCAGAGTTTTTAAGGTTGGCTTTGAGCCCGTCTTTAAATCTCTTTTCCTGCCCACCAACATTCCATTTTCCGCGACCCCATTCTGCTCTTGATATATATATATATGGGCTGTTCCTTAAAGATTTCCCCTGACCCACTTCCTGTATATATATGTATGGTAAAGCTTTTCCCCTGACGTTAAGTCCAGTCGTGTCTGACTCTGGAGGTTGGTGCTCATCTCCATTTCTGAGCCGAAGAGCCGGCGTTGTCCATAGACACCTCCAAGGTCATGTGGCCAGCATGACTGCATGAAGCGCCGTTACCTTCCCCCACCGGTACCTATTGATCTACTCACATTTGCATGTTTTCAAACTGCTAGGTTGGCAGAAGCTAGGGCTAACAGTGGGGGCTCACCCCACTCTCCGGATTCGAACTGCCAACCTTTCGGTCAGTAAGTTCAGCAGCTGGCGTTGTCCGTAGACGCCTCCAAGGTTATGTGACCAGAATGACTGCAGAGAACGCCGTTACCTTCCCACCAAACTGCTAGGTTGGCAGAAGCTGGAGATGACAGCGGAAGCTCACGCCGCTCCCCGGATTCGAAGCAACAACCTTTCAGTCAACAAGTTTAGCAGCTTAGCGGTTTAACCTCATATAGCTATATAAATAAAAATGTAATGTTCGTTTGTGGGATTAACAGAACTCAAAAACCACTTGACTAATTGACACCAAATTTGGACACAAGACACCTAACAACCCAATGAATGTCCTTCACTCAAAAAAAATGATGTTGTCATTCGGGGTTGTAGTTGCTGGGATTTATAGTTCACCTACAATCAAAGAGTATTCTGACCCCCACCAATGATGGAATTGAACTGAACTTGGCACACAGTTCTCCCATGACCAACGGAAAATACTGGAAGGCTTTGGTGGGCAATGTCCTTTGGTTTTGGAGTTGTAGTTCACCTACATTCAGAAATCACTGTGGACTCAAAGAATGATGGATCTGGAGCAAACTCTACACGAATATTCAATATGCCCAAATGTTAACACTGTTGGAGTTTGGGGAAAATAGAATCTTGACATTTGGGAGTTATAGTTGCTGGGATTTGTAGTTCACCTGCAATCACAGAGTATTCTGAACCCGAGCAATGATAGAATTGGGCCAAACCTCCCACAGAGAACCTCCATGTGGGCCACAGCAACGCGTGGCAGGGGATGGCTAGTATGTATGTATATATATATATATATATATATATATATCAGAAACTCATATCTGTTTCAAAACTATCCCCTCATCCTGAAAAAAACAGAGAGACTCGAGATATTCTTTAGCGAACTGTTTCAATTCAGACAATTGCACCGATTACATCTATTTGCACAATGTTGTTTTCAAACAAAGCTCGGCAAAGCGAAGTCAATAAATGATTTTCCACATAAAATGTTGGGGTGGTTATGCTTGGCATTAAAAAAAGAACATGTAATCCTATCAATGAGGTTTCAAAAAAAAAGCAACAACAAAATGTGTAAAGACAACATTAACATACAAAGTCACATAAGTACAAAGGCTTTAAAAAAAAAGGAAATACAGTGGACCGTCCACATTTGTGGTTTGGACTTTTGTGGATTTGAGTATTCATGGATTTCACCAATATATCAACAGTGGAGTAGTTGGGTTGCTGTGAGTTTTCTGGGCTGTCTGGCCATGTTCCAGAAGCATTCTCTCCTGATGTTTCGCCCACATCTATGGCAGGCATCCTCAGAGGTTGTGAGGTCTGTTGGAAATGAGCCAAGTGGGGTTTATATATCTGTGGAATGATGTCCAGGGTGGGAGAAAGAATTATTGTCTGCTGAATGTTGCAACTCGCTAGCTTGATTAGCACTGAATGGCCTTGCAGCTTCAAAGCCTGGCTCCTTCCTAGAATCAAAGAGTTGGAAGAGACCTCATGGGCCATCCAGTCCAACCCCATTCTGCCAAGAAGCAGGAATATTACATTCAAATCACCCCTGACAGATGGCCATCCAGCCTCTGTATAAAAGCCTCCAAAGAAGGAGCCTCCACCACACTCCGCGACAGAGAGTTCCACTGCTGAACGGCTCTCACAGTCAGGAAGCTCTTCGTCATATTCAGAAGGAATCTCCTGCCTGGGGGAATTTTGTGTTGGGAGGTGTCAGCTGGTCCTGATTGTTTCCTGTCTGGAATTCCCGTTTTTTTTTCTTTTTAGTGTTGCTCTTTATTTACTGTCCTGATTTTAGATTTTTTAAAATAATAGTAGCCAGATTTTGTTCATTTTCATTTTCATAGTGAATAATAAAGAGCAACAGGGGAATTCCAGACAAGAATCAATCAGGGTCAGCTAACAACTTCCAACAAAAGATTCCCCAGTCAGCAATCAGCTAGGCTTTGAAGCTGCAAGGCCATTCAGTACTAATAAAGAGCATCTGATAAACCAACATGGACACAGCATATTATTTGAGAATATATACTTTCTGGATTCGAACCGCTGACATTTTGGTCAGCAAGTTCAGCAGCTCAGCGGTTCATAGAATCATAGAATCAAAGAGTTGGAAGAGACCTCCTGGGCCATCCAGTCCAACCCCATTCTGCCAAGAAGCAGGAATATTGCATTCAAATCACCCCTGACAGATGGCCATCCAGCCTCTGTTTAAAAGCTTCCAAAGAAGGAGCCTCCACCACACTCCGGGGCAGGGAGTTCCACTGCTGAACGGCTCTCACAGTCAGGAAGTTCTTCCTCGTGTTCAGATGGAACAGCAAAACTAAACAGGAAATAACACTTTCAAACCAGGAACAGAAAACTTTTCAGAGTGTTATTACACTGTTCGTGCACTGTTATTCCACTTTAACTGCTATGGTTGTAGAATCCTGGGATTTACAGTTTAGGGAAAGATCTTTATAATTACTGTACTTGCCAAGAAGCAGGAATATTGCATTCAAATCACCCCTGACAGATGGCCATCCAGCCTCTGTTTAAAAGCTTCCAAAGAAGGAGCCTCCACCACACTCCGGGGCAGAGAGTTCCACTGCTGAACGGCTCTCACAGTCAGGAAGTTCTTCCTTGTGTTCAGATGGAACAGCAAAACTAAACAGGAAATAACACTTTCAAACCAGGAACAGAAAACTTTTCAGAGTGTTATTACACTGTTCGTGCACTGTTATTCCACTTTAACCTGCTATGGTTGTAGAATCCTGGGATTTACAGTTTAGGGAAAGATCTTTATAATTACTGTTCTTGGGTCTCATTAACTAGAAATCCAGGAGTCCCCCACAATTTAAAGTGGGATAGCAATGCTTTCACAGTGTTGTGTGATAATCTCCTGAACCGAGGCTCATTCCTCCTTGGTGGGCTTAGGATTCCTTTCGCTGTGGAATCCTTTGGTGCCGTCGGGACCCTTCGGCAAACGCAACACCCCGACGGGCAACCCGACAACATTCTGGATTTTGGGGCTCTGCGAGGGGCTCCCAATGGGGCTCTTCTCCTGCGTCAGAGTCTGCGCTTGCCGGCGCCGCTGGACCCACGGGCTGCTGGATGGAGTGAGGCTACTGTCCGACGAATAATCGGCGCACTTCCTGACCATCTCGGGACTAGGGCTGACGCTTAGCGGTGACATCCTGGACCCTTTCCGAAGGGAGCAAGGACTGTTTCGGGGGCTCGGCCTCGGAGACAGATTGGGGCTGAGGTGGTTGTTTGGATAGACGACCGGACTGAGTTTATTAAAAGCGTTACATCTCCGTCCGGACATTGGAGAGGTCGGGTTGCTCTCCGTCTCGGAGGAGCTGTTGGCCGAAGACTCGTCGCCAACGAATTGCAGTTCCTCCACTCGTTTGTTCATTGAGCGGGTTTTGTGAAGGCTCCGGTCTTTGGGGACCTTCTTCTTCGGAGGCTTCATCCCGATGAGGATGACCTTCATGGCCGCTTCACCGTCATCCAAAACGCACATCGATTCGTGGGCTTTGATGGCGGCGTCCACCTCTTCAAACTCCACAATGGCACACTCTTGGGTCCCCACTTGGTTGTAGCGGCCGCTGAACCTCTTGATGTCCGGAGGGAGGTCCTTGCCGGGTTTGAGGATCCGGACGGACGCAATGACGCCGAACTTGACAAAGGCTTTGAGGAGGTGCTCCATGACTTTCTCTTGGAGGCGTCCGTTTTCCGGCCCGTCCTCCGCAGATTGGAGATTTGGTGCCAAGTGCATGTCGTAGACCAGCAACATTTTGCTCGGCAAGTTTTCGCTCGGAAAGACTGGGACCGGGGTGTTTCGCCGGACCTTTCGATTGTCTTCGTTCAGTTCCAGAATATCGGAATATTTCAGGGCATGAGATGTGGTTCTCCAGTCCCGGGTCAAGTGTTTCACCTGTGGAAAAAGAAAGGTTGCATATTTATAATAGTTTGAAGATCCATACAGCTCTTAAGATCCATAGGCCAGGCTTTAGCACAGCTGGTAAATCACCAGCAATTGAAAAGATCTACCAACTGTAAGGTTGCCAGTTCTAAGTCCCGGGTCAGCATGAGCTCCTATATTTTGTAATCCTGATTACATAGACTAATAGGTCTATATGGCCCTGGTTGTGTTAAATCTCTTCCCTTTTTTGGTATAGTAATAATTTCTGATACCTTCCATGTTTGTGGGACTTTTTGCTTAGTGTATATTTCATTAAACAACTGTTAAATGTGGTGCCAATTCTTCAATATCACCTCTGAGGATGCTTGCCATAGATGCAGGCGAAACGTCAGGAGAAATGCCTCTAGAACATGGCCCTATAGCCCGAAAAAACCCACAAGAACTTAGTGATTCCAGCCATGAAAGCCTTCAACAATACATCTTCAATATATGCTTTATAATATTCCGCTGGGAATCCATCTGGCCCTGGTGACTTAGCTCTCTTTAACTCTTTAATTACCCTTAATATTTCCTCTTGTGTTATTGGTTGATTTAATAACTCTCTGTCTTCCTCTGCAATTTTCCTCTGATGTTTAAGTTCCCTTGTGCTACCCTCTCCTTATATAAATCTTTAAAATATTTTGCCATTATCTCCCTAATTTTACTTGTTCTCTCCCCTTTTCCATCTTTCAATCTCTTTACCCAGGTTTTTTCCTTTTCCTTTTTCAAATAATAAGCCATCCTCTTCATTGATTTTATATGCCAACTTTGGGAATAACTTTTAACATATAGATACTTATTCATTATATTCATTTCCTCAAAAGCTTCTAATTATTTTCTCTTGGTGTCAATTCGTCCAGTGGTTTTTGAGTTCTGTTAATCCCACAAACGAATATTACATTTTTATTTATCATCATCATCATCATCATCATCATCATCTCTGCCCCATCTTCTGATTGGATATCAGCCAGCAATCCAATGCCTTAAATAAAAAAATAGCTTCCTAAGATCCACAGAGATACTTATAGGAAGACCTCAGCAAGCGAGAGTCCAAAAGTGGCAGGCTGAAACTCAGAACCTCAATCAGTGGCTGAGACCAAATGAGTGACTCCCTCCTGGGCACACAGAAGACTGGGCGACTTGGAAGGCACTAAACAGACTGCGCTCTGGCACCACAAGATGCAGAGCCAACCTTAAGAAATGGGGTCACAAAGTGGAGTCTGCAACATGCGAGTGCGGAAAAGAGCAAACCACAACTTACTACAATGCAACCTGAGCCCTGTCACATGCACAATGGAGGACCTTCTCACAGCCACACCAGAGGCACTACAAAAGGCCGGCTACTGGTTAAAGGACATTTAGTATCATGCCAAGTTTTAAAACTTTGTGCTTTTAAAATACATTGCAACCATACCCTCGGTTTGCTTCTGATACGATAAATAAATAGTACTCTTGAGCAAGACTTTGTAAACTACAGCTCCCATGATTCCTTAGCCTTGGGCCATGGCAGTTCAAGTGGTGCCAAATTGCATTAGTTCTACAGTATATTTATTCTTTATTTATTTACGGCATTTATATGCCCCCCTTCTTACCCCGAAGGGGACTCAGAGCAGCTTACAAGATATATATACATACAATATATTTTATCATTAGCATAGTACAATATCAGTATTATATAGTGCTATATTGTAGTAAACCATTATATTGTAATATTATTTGTAATATTACATGTAATCTATATAAATACAAATGTAATGTTCGTTTGTGGGATTAACAGAACTCAAAACCCACTGGAGGAATTGATACCAAATTTGGACAACAACCCAATGAGTGACCATCACTCAAAAAAATTGATTTTGTCATTTGGGAGTTGTAGTTGCTGGGATTTATAGTTCACCTACAATCAAAGAGCATTCTGAACTCCACCAAAGATGGACTTGAACCAAACTTGGCAAACAGAACTCCCATGACCAACAGAAAATACTGGAAGGGTTTGGTGGGCATTGACCTTGAGTTTGGGAGTTGTAGTTCACCTACATCCAGAGAGCACTGTGGACTCAAACAATGATGGGTCTGGACCAAACTTGGCACGAATATTCCGTATGCCCAATATGAACATAGATGAGGTTTGGGGGAAATAGACCTTGATATTTGGGAGTTGTATTTACTGGGATTTATAGTTCACCTATAATCAAAGAGCATTCTGAACTCCACCAATGATGGAATTGAACCAAACGTGGCACACAGAACTCCCATGACCAAAAGAAAACACTAGAAGGGTTTGGTGGGCACTGGCCTTGAATTTGGGAGTTGTCGTTCACCTATGTCCAGAGAACACTGTGGACTCAAACAATGATGGGTCTGGACCAAACTTGGCACGAATATTCCGTATGCCCAAATATGAACATAGATGAGGTTTGGGGGAAATAGACCTTGATATTTGGGAGTTGTATTTACTGAGATTTATAGTTCACCTACAATCAAAGAGCATTCTGAACCCCACTGTGGCGAAGGAGAGAGACTATTTCCTTATTAAAACCTTTTTGCTGCCTTATACTGATTCAGTTTCTTCTTTTATATTGGCTGGGACTTTCTGTGTGCTGTTAAACCTTTGTGCTTTATGTCACAGGCAATGAAACACTCTTGTATATAACAAAGTAACACAGTTTATTTATAACTTCTGGCTCCAACGCTTGTGGTTACATTTGTGTTTTGTTGCAATCTTGAGGCTTACAGTCAGTATCATTTACTTGGTTTACTTTTCTGGATATAAACTATCAATGTTTCACATTCACAAACATGTTACTTGCTTTACACACTCTTGGCTGAATTATATTCTGACTCAGGCAACACTAGCCTTCTTTATGTTCCTTAAAACTCGAGCTCTATTTAACTAACTGCTTCTCTATATCAGAAGTCTTTAACACATCTTCATAACTGCTTATTTCTAACAGGCACTCAAAAACCAACTCTCCTCTTCACACACAGATTCCTAACTGTCATTTTCAAACTCCCTCACTCTAACTGCCTCTTTCAAAACCTTGGCTCCACCCCTTTGGAATTTTCAGCTCTCTCTCTCCAACTGTCATTTTGGGCCTAGCAGCCTTTTCAAATCCTGGGCCTACACTAATCTGCATATGACCAATTGGCTTCACATATGCAAATGAATCCTATCTCTGCTGTTGCTACCCTGTCTGTACCTATTCTTCCCTATCTGCCATATGTAAACATAGAGCTATACACCAAAACTTTAACATAGAGTGGCAATTTCACTACACCCACCAATGATGGAATTGATTTTTAAGTAATTTACCTTTTTGAAAGAAGTCAACAGCTTCACGCTGACGTATCCCATCTTATTTCTCCGGACATGTTTCAGGAGGAAGGCATCCTTCTCAAGGTTTTCGTCGGAGAAGTAATACTCAATCTGGGCCACCAGTTTCAAGATCAGTTCGGGTTCTGGAGGCCTCCATTTGTGTCCAAACTCGTCTCCGTCGTTCTCACCTCCGCTGGCGAAAACGAAGAGAAAGAAGAAATCTATCAATCCATCGCTTTATTACACTATGTAACAACACTTGACATTTGTTTCTGATCCTGGTTTGGAAGTGTTATTTCTCGTTTAATTATGAAGTACTTACTTTAGTAGTTGTTCTATTCCAAAAACTTTGTTTTCTTCACACTAGGCTAGTGGTTCTCAACCTTCCTAATGCCGCGACCCCTTAATGCAGTTCCATATGTTGTGATGACCCACAACCATAACATTATTTTCGTTGCTACTTCATAACTGTAATTTTGCTACTGTTATGAATCGTAATGTAAATATCTGATATGCAGGATGTATTCTCATTCACTGGACCAAATTTGGCACAAGTACCTGATACGTCCAAATTTGAATACTGGTGGGGTTGGGGGAGGGATTGATTTTGTCATTTGGGAGTTGTAGTTGCTGGGATTTATAGTTCGCTTACACTCAAAGAGAATTCTGAACCCCACCAACGATGGAATTGAACCAAGCTTGGCACAAAGAATTCGCACGACCAACAAAAAATGCTGGAAGAGTCTGGTGGGCATTGACTTGAGTTTTTGGAGTTGTAGTTCGCTTACATTCAGAGAGTACTCTGGACTCAAACAATTATGGATCTGGACCAAACTTGGCACAAATACTCAGTATGCTTAAATGTGAACACTGGTGGAGTTTGGGGAAAATAGACCTTGACATTTGGGAGTTGTAGTTTCTGTTATTTATAGTTCACCTACAATCAAAGAGCATTCTGAACTCCACCAACGATGGAATTGAACCAAATGTGGCACACAGAACTCCCATGACGAACAGCAAATGCTGGAAGGGCCTAATGGGCATTGACCTTAAGTTTGGGAGTTGCAGTTCCCCTATATCCAGCAAGCACTGTGGGCACAAACAATGATGGATCTGGACCAAACTAGGCACGAATACTCAGTATGCTCAAATGTGAACACTGGTGGAGTTTGGGGAAAATAGAATCTTGACATTTGGGAGTTGTAGTTTCTGGGATTTGTAGTTCACCTGCAATCACAGAGCTTTCTGAACCAACCAACAATAGAATTGGGCCAAACCTCCCACACAGAACCCCCATGACCACCAGAGTGGGCCACAGCAACACATGGCAGGGGACAGCTAGTCTATATAAATAAAAATGTAATGGGAGTTGTAATTGCTGGGATTTATAGTTCACCTACAATCAAAGAGCATTCTGAATTCCACCAACGATGGAATTGAACCAAACTTGGCACACAGAACTCCCATGACCAACAGAAAATACTGGAAGGGTTTGGTGGACATTGACCTTGAGTTTTGGAGTTGTAGTTCACCTACATCCAGAGAGCACTGTGGACTCAAACAATGATGGATCTGGACCAAACTTGGCACGAATACTCAATATGCCCAAATGTGAACACTGGTGAAGTTTGAGGAAAACAGACCTTTGGGCATTGAGTTTTGGAGTTGTAGTTCATCTACATCCAGAGAGCACTGTGGACTCAAACAATGATAGATCTGGACCAAACTTGGCATGAATACTCAATATGCCCAAATGTGAACACTGGTGGAGTTTGGGGAAAATAGACCTTGACATTTGGGAGTTGTAGTTGCTGGGATTTATAGTTCCCTACAATCAAAGAGTGGACTCAAACAATGATAGATCTGGACCAAACTTGGCACGAATACTCAGTATGCTCAAATGTGAACACTGGTGGAGTTTGGGGAAAATAGAATCTTGACATTTGGGAGTTGTAGTTGCTGGGATTTATAGTTCACCTGCGATCACAGAGCTTTCTGAACCCGACCAACGATAGAATTGGGCCAAACCTCCCACACAGAACCCCCATTACCACCAGAGTGTGCCACAGAAACAGGTGGCAGGGGACAGCTAGTCTATATAAATAAAAATGTGATGGGAGTTGTAGTTGCTGGGATTTATAGTTCACCTACAATCAAAGAGCACTCTGAACTCCACCAACGATGGAATTGAACCAAACTTGGCACACAGAACTCCCATGACCAACAGAAAATACCCATGACCAATAGAAAGGGTTTGGTGGACGCTGACCTTGAGTTTTGGAGTTGTAGTTCACCTACATCCAGAGAGCACTGTGGACTCAAACAATGATAGATCTGGACCAAACTTGGCATGAATACCCAATATGTCCAAATGTGAACACTGGTGGAGTTTGGGGAAAATAGGCTTGACATTTGGGAGTTGTAGTTTTGGAGTTGTAGTTTCCCTACATCCAGAGAGCACTGTGGACTCAAACAATGATAGATCTTATCCAAATTTGGTACAAATACTCAATATGTCCAAATGTGAACACTGGTGGAGTTTGGGGAAAATAGGCTTGACATTTGGGAGTTGTAGTTTTGGAGTTGTAGTTTCCCTACATCCAGAGAGCATTGTGGACTCAAACAATGATAGATCTTATCCCAATTTGGTACAAATACTCAATATGTCCAAATGTGAACACCGGTGGAGTTTGGGGAAAATAGACTTTCAAAATTTCATTATAAATGGCAGTTCCTAATAGGTTCTGTCATAAAAATCACCAATAATGAAATTTTGAAAGTTTTGTTTGAGTTCTGAAATTTTCACCACCAGAACTTTAGCAACATTGCAGAAGCAACAGGGAATGCATGCTTGCGGACCAAAAAGGAAAGCATGTCGATGTGGGAACCCCCAAAACGACGTCACAAAAGTGAGCAGGTGGCACTGACAGTATCCAAACAAACAGCGTTGGAGGATGGAGGCTTCCCCTGATCAGAGAAGGGATGTTTGAGCAGGAGACGGGATGCCAGGGCAGGCTGCAAAACAACCCTATTAGGCTGTGACTCATCGCCGGCTTGTGAGTCACCGGAGAAGGAACCCAACGCAGGCAGGCATCTCAAGGGCAAGGTTTTGTCCTCTGCCGCTCCAAAGCTCCTGACGCATCTGACTCAAGTCTTCCCTGAATTCCCTGAATCCACGCACATCACAAAGCCAGGCGTTTGGGGGCGGACAGAGGTGGACGCATGGAGAATCATCTCTGGGTTGTTGTAGGTTTTTTCAGGCTATATGGCCATGTTCTAGAGGCATTCTCGCCTGATGTTTTGCCTGCATCTATGGCAAGCATCCTCAGAGGTAGTGAGGTCTGTTGGAACTAGGGAAAAGGGTTTATATATCTGTGGAATGAACCCTTGTCTGCTGGAACTAGGTTTGAATGTTTCAACTGACCACCTTGATTAGCATTTGATGGCCTGGCAGTGCCTGGGGTAACCTTTTCTTGAGAGGTTATTAGATGTCCTTGATTGTTTCCTTTCTGTTGTTTTGCTGTTAGAGGAAACAATCAGACACATCGAATCACCTCTCAACAAAAGATTGCCCCAGGCACTGCCAGGTAATCAAATGCTAATCAAGGTAGTCAGCTGAAACATTCACACCTAGCTCCAGCAGTCAAGAGTTCTTTCTCCCACTCTAGTCATTCCACATATATATAAACCCTTTTTCCTTGTTCCAACAGACCTCACTACCTCCAAGGATGCTTGCCATAGATGCAGGCGAAATGTCAGGAGATAATGCCTCTAGAACATCGGGCTTCGCGCCAGGTGGCGGACAGTGGGTTAAACGGGCCTGTGGCCATGTGCAGGATTACTGGAAGACCGACGTGTGTCGGCAGTTTCTAAATCCGGGAGTAGGGCAGATGAGGCTCTGGCCTCTATCAGTCTCGCAGCTCGCTCTATGGCAGGGAGGGTACATGAGTTAGAAGCCTCCACGAAGGATGATAAAAACGATCAACTATCATTCGGACGCAGGTGGTCCCGCTGGGGCAAGCGTTCCTTTGCTAGGACATGGGACAATTTCATCTCACTGATCATCGCGTAGTTATAGCGTTGCTTGGGCAGTTTCCTTCAAGTCGGTCTCCTGACTACAAACAAAATAAGCAGATGGGTGCTCTTATTTAGCGACGAAATAAAGACCTACAACAACGTCAATCAGGGACAGCTAATTCACTTCTCGAACAAAAGATTGCTCCAGGCACTGCCAGGCAGTCAAATGCTAATCAAGGTGGTCAGTTGAAACATTCACACCTAGCTCCAGCAGACAAGAGTCCTTTGTCTCACCCTGGTCATTCCACAGATATATAAACCCTTTTTCCTTGTTCCAACAGACCTCTCTACCTCTGAGGACGCTTGCCATAGATGCAGGCGAAACATCAGGAGAAAATGCCGCTATAACATGGCCGTATAGCCCGAAGAAACCTACAACAACCCAGTGATTCCGGCCATGAAAGTCTTTGACAATACAGAGAATAATCTCCTTTCTTTCCCAAGACCACACAACTCGGATCGATTCCTCCATGATTTTGTTGGCACATCAGCCGCTGTCAGAATTCAACCCCATCAACAAAAATTTTTTAAACCTTTCCTAATTCGTGTTCATATTGAAAAACCTCTCTCTTTTTCAATATGAAAATTAGGATATGGGCAGACATTCAACATGAAAATGTGCTCAAAGTAGGTAAACATAGAGATTTTCCTTTGACATTAAGCCCAAAGGGACTCAGGGCAGATCACAGAACACATACACGGCAAACATCCAGTGCCATTAAACAGACAGGACAGGCAACAGGTAGAGGTATATGTCGGCATTTTTCTCAACTTTGGCGTCCTGGAGGTTGCACTCGATTATGGCCACAAGGGGTGCTGTCGTTCCATCCTCTATGACAAAGAGCCTTGATCACAGACTTTCTCCTTCCTTTGATTGCCGGCATTTTCTGGTATTTCTTTTATGGTGCCTCCCCGCTTAAGAGGTGCCTAATTTCTCTACTCGCAGCTGTTTTCGAACTGCTTAGGTGGACAGTAAGCTGGGCAGAAGGTCGAGTGCTCACCCCAACCCGGGTTTCGAACTGCCAACTTTTCGATTGGTAAGATCTATTGCTGGTAGTGGTTCGCGATGCCATAAAAATCTCCAGCAAGCATGCAAAGAAGGAGGAAGTACTTCAT